CATGCCAAACAGAGTATGATGAGCTTGAACCACTTGTTGGCCGAGTTCTACTCTGGGTCCTTTTTCAAGGATCAGCACATAGTGGGCGCTTAAGAAAATAAAACTTGGAGGCTGGAGAAAGCTCCAGCTCAGCCCTGGGTACCCTGCCCCCCCCTCCCATTCACCCAAGCGGGTGGGCACTGGGTCTTCCCCGGCCTTGGCAGGGAAAGCTTGCTGGCAGATGAGTGCGTAGAGGAGAGGCAGACATCCCAGCTCAGCACCGGCAGTCGATCAACGCGTCGTGGCGGAGACTCGACCAGCGCCAAGGACAGACTGAGTTCAAATCCCGACTCTGCCGCTTCCAGGCAGAGTGACTTTGGGCAAGTCATTCCCCCCAGAACCTCAGTTACTCCCTCCATAAAATAGGGATATTAACACCCAATCTAAAGGATTGTGGGGAGGATTAAACAAAACATTATGCCTAACACACGAAACGCACAAACGTCTTCTCTTGTCCATCCCACAAGCTTCGGGAGATAAGCCGGGTACAGAGACAATTCCCGGCTCCCAGTTCCAGGTCGCCCACCCCTGGGTGCAGGGACCAAAGGCCTTCTAGTGATCCCTGTCCGACGAAACCCGAAAATACAGCCACATTGCCGGCGGTTAGTCCCAAAAGCAAATGTTCAAACATTCTGTAACGGGCACACCGCTAGAGCTGACATTTTTGCGTTTGTTTTTCTTACAGTTTTATTCTTGCTAGTAAAGATAATTCGTTAGAAACTCCTAAGTGAGATTTTTCTTCTGTATCTGGTTTAACTTTTCGTCTGAGCGAAGTTCACAAATCTGACCAAGGAACCGGCGTGTGATTGTCGTCACCGGGATCTCGGCTCTTGGACCGGCCCTCGACAATAAGTGGCTCTAGACCCTTTCCCCAGGGCACGAACACTGAAGAGTTAGGCTTCCCCTATTCCTCCCGTTTAGACGGAGCTTCTTCCCGGCAGCCCTCCGGTATTCCCCGTGTCCACGCAGGAGTGAGGTGGAAGTGGAATTCTGCAGCACAGAACTCAGCTTCCCCCGACTTCCCCAAACTCCCGCCTCGCTCGGATTAAGGGAGTAAATCCCTGACGCCGCAGACCAGGTCAAGGACAAGTTCTCCCCCGCCCTACTCCCCCCTCCTGGGCGGGGATTCACCCCCTCTTCCGGAATGAAAGGTACTAAAGAGACTCGGGAGGGGCGGGGGGCCGGCGGCGGCCCCGGCCCCTTGATGTTCCGGTTGAACAGGTGCTGGTGAAAAGGAGGCGGACCCGGCGGAAGAGTCTGCCAGGGGGGCAGTGCGCTGAAGGGGGGCGGCCTCCTCCACCCCTAGTCCCTAGGCGGGTCTTCCCCCTCGCCTCTCCGTCTGCCCCTCCCCCGCAGGAAGCGTTCCCGGCCGCGAGGTCTTTGATGTGGCGCTGAAGCCCCCAGGACGGCCGTCTCCCCTCCACCACCCAACCTCCCGCTGGGGAGGAGTGACCTTTGCTCCCTCCGGGCGTCGACCCCCCCTTTTAGGAATGGGGGGTTCAGATTGCGTCCCTCTTGCTCAGGGTGATCTTGGGGAGACGTTTGCGAGCTGACGCCCACTCACTTCTTCCCCAGACCCAATTTCAGGGACTTTAACTCTGGAGTGCCATGTGTGAGCGGTGTTGTGTGCCGAGAGGTCAAGTGTAACTGGTTCGCAAGCGGCTCCGCAGTCGCGGGGCTCTAACCTGCGTGAGTCTCTAAGTGCACCTGGGGGCTGGGGCTTGTGTCTGGGATCGTCAGGTGGCGCGTCTGGATGAAGCCGGGAGTGAGTCTGTGTGTCTGGGCCTCGGTGTGCGTCTGAGGTCCGAGTCCCTGTGTGCGCGCGCGTGTGTCTGCTCACTCCCCGAGGGCAGGTCCTTTACCCTATTGCAACGCTGGCACAAAGTAAGCGTTCAATAAATATTTGTTGAATGAAAAAGTGTCTGGGTGTGAGAATGTCTATCCTCCAGGGGGGCCTCCGAGAGAAGGGCCCAAGAAAGGCCATCCAGACTCCCCCCGACGTCAGACACCGAGGGCCGAGCGGTCCACGTCGTCCTGTTCCTTCCAGCGCCCCTTCCCTTGGTCTCCAACCTCAAGTTTCCTCCGGGTGGAGGAACAGACCCAGAAGCGAAGATCTGGGCGGAAGGGGCCGGAGGCTCGGACCGAGACGGAAGGGCAGGCAGAGGGAGGGCTCGCGAGCGACAACTGAGAGCCATAAAACGAAAAAGGAAGGCGGAAGAAGAGCGCGGGGCGAACGAGCGAAAAGCTCCCTACCAAGCCAGGCTTTGTTCCCTGAACCTAAGACTTTACCCGGCGGCGGG